GCTGTACTAATCCAGGAGCTACTGCGATACTCTGTAATTGGGTGATTGCTACATGGAGGTTGAATCATGATTCTGTGTTTAGTTGCTTGAGTGACGTTGCAGATGGAGTCTCAGACAGAGGGATGTCAATCCAGCCTGCTTATTAGACTATTAGGCCATGCCATTAGGATAATTCTGATTCTTTAGCATCATTTTGCAAACAAAAGGCACTGCAGTGTCTCACTGATACAGATATCAAGAAAAGAAACGCACAATGATTTTTCCAAATATACACACAGCTTCCACAATCTCTTACTCTCTCTCTCTTTCTCTCTCTCTCTCTCAGTTGCTATCTCCCTCTCTATCTCTCTGTCTATCTCTCTCGCTGCCTCTCCCTTTCTCTCCCTCATCATAGCAACTATAACTGCTTAGCAACGCTGGGTGGGCGGCGGGTTGGCGGGCGGCTGCCGTCTGTGTACTGGGTTGTTGTCATGCACCTCTCATCCCTCACCAGCAACGATGCTCACACTGAATCCTGAAAACAACAGATTTTTTTTTCCTGGTGAAACACCCAAGCTCCTCTCGAACATTACATTTATTGTCTCAATGTTTGAAATATTTAGGCATTCCAGCTTTCAAATAACTGAATTTCATATAAATATTATATTTATATATTTTAATGATTATTTTGTTATTTATTATGACTTAACTATTATATGAATATTTATGTTTTAAATATAGAATGTGTGTAATATGAGATATAGAAATATAAATATAAGATTAGAAAGCCTATTTCAAAACAAGCTTTATAATTATTCTAATTATTATTTCTTCTTATACCACATCCCAAAGGTTCTCTGTTGGATTCACATCTGGTGACTCGTGAAGCCATTGAATTACACTGAGCTCATTGTCATGTTCACGGAACCATATTGAGACAACCTGTACTTGGCGACATGGTGTATTATCATGCTGGAAGTAGCCAGTAGAAGATGGGTAAATTGTGGCCATAAAGGGATGCACATGATCAGCAACAATACTCAGATAGACTGTGGCATTCACACCATGCTTGGTTGGCATTAAGGTGCCCAATGCCCAAGTGGGTGCATGGACTGATACACTTGGCACCACATTCTGACCCTACAATCTGCATGTTACAGCAGAAACTGAGATTCATCAGACCAATCAACATTTATCTAATCTTCAGCTGTACAGTTTGGGTGAGTCTGTGCCCAAGTTTTCTGTTCGTGGCTGACAGGAGTGGAACCTGATGTGGTAGCTGTTGTAGCACTTCTGACTCATGGTCTGACGTGTTGCGAGTTCTAAGATGCGTTTCTGCTCACCATGTTTGTAAAGAGTGGTTATTTTAGTTCTATTGATTTCCTGTCGCAAGCAGTCTGGTCAGTCTCTTGTCAACGAGGTGTTTCTGCCAGCAGAACTACTGCTCACTGGATGGATTTTGTTTTTCTCACCATTCTGTGTCACCTCTAGAGACTGTTGGGTGTGAAAATCCCAGGAGGTCAGCAGTTTCTGAAATACTCAAACCAGCCTGTCAGGCACCAGCAACCATGTTCAAAGTCGCTGAGATCACATTTTTCTCAGACTCTGGTGTGTGATATTAACATTAACTGAAGCTCTTGAACTGTATCTGCATGATTTTATGCATTGGGCTGCTGCCACATGATTGGTTAATTGCATTAATGAGCAGGTGTACGTGTTCCTATTAAAGTGGCCAGTTAGTGTATGCATGTATACATAAATATATACTTTTTTCTGTGCTTGTCTGCATTATTGTGATTTTTATGTCATAATGAGTGAGTCCCATTCTGTTGCAATCTGCCATACTTTACCTCTTTTTCAAAACGTGTACAGCTTGCTTGGGTTTTCATAACGCAGAGCTTTTTTTTTTTTTTTTTTTTTTAAAAAAAGGAGCTTATTGTTCAACATGGGTGACCTATGGAACTCCATTTTTTTAAAGTCTGCCCACACAAGGATGCACACACACACACGCACACACTATTTTGACATTCCCTTACTGCTTAAACTGTGAAATCTTAAGAATGGTGTGTTGTGAAGTAGAGTGACTAATACAGAGTCAGGGATGGGTCTAATGTTCATTTTTTGATTAAAATAATCCTCTTTAAAACTATGTGTACATTAGTGCTTAGGTTTAAGAAGAGATGGGAATCTTTCGGCCCTCGAAAGTGCCACATAATGAATATAACACTCGGGATTGTGCTCTTATAGGAAAATAATCAACGACAAGAGTTATTCTGAAGTTGATTAATTCCTATAACAGCATAAACTCCTCTGTACTAAAAACCTCCCTGTGGTGGAAAACTTACAGAATGTTACAAAGCGCTGACATATATATATATATATATATATATATATATATATATATATATATATATATAATTTACACTGTAAGTGATTTTTGTGTGTAATAGTTTAAATGTTTAAACATTTTAAAGCTTAATAGTTTTAAAAACAATATCAGTAGTTTTAAAAAATAACATCAGATGGGTATTGATATCGGAAAAGAAAAAGTGGTATCATGTCTTCATGTCATTTATTTGTTAAATAGTTGTTGTTTTTTTCAGTTCTGATTTGCTTCATATTCTCTTTGATTAATTTCTACTGATTGGATCAGAATAACCTGTTTTAAATTTTTTTAATTTTTTTTAAATACTTAAAGTAGAACCATACTATATGTATATATATATATTTTTTTTTTTTCAACACGAGACTTAATGTGCTGGACTCATTTTCTCTGTTGAACACAAAAAATACATATGAATGTTTTGGTCCATCTGCTATAACCCCCTTCATATTTGCATCATTTCAGACCCAAAAATAAAACAGAATGCAAAAAAGTGTTGAAATATTCATTAATGACAACTGTTTTTTACAAAAATAAAACATTATACACACGAGTAAGCACACCTGCTGGCAGGAGCGTCCTCAGGCATGAGAAGTGGTTTTGCGTGCTTTTACTGTTCCCCAAAAACACAGATGTATTCACAGTTGGTCATTTCAAAAATGATTTTCTGTCTCATTTGTCTAAAGTCAGTATGATCGATGAACAGTGCATCTATTGCTAAATAGTGAACTGAACACTAAAGTTAAAAGACATTCTTAGATACATCTAAGAATCATATTATTTGCTCACCCCTAGTTTTAAAGTGTGGTACACTTCTGAGTAAAGCAAGCAGCTTTATAACCTTTCCACATTCTCCTGACCTTCCTAGGAAGTGCGGACCCTCTGTCGTGTTTTGTTTGGTGTGTCTCTGTCACTCCTCCCCCGACACAGGAGGTGAAGAAGGAACCAGATGTCCCTACAAAGGCCCTCTCTTTAACCACCCCCTCTTTAATTCATCGCTAATTAGAGTGTCTCAGGTAGCAGGAGCTCTGTAGTACACAACAACACAAGCATGCCATTCACATGCTAATCACACAAGATGACCCGACAGGATGCACTTTGGTCCTGGTCAGGAACTAGTCTGCTAATTGTGCCATTTTGTCCTCTCCCCTGCGGACGAACTTGACAGTCCTCAAATTAGAGATTTGTAAATGGACAGCCAGGCCATACGCTTTTGTCCACTAAACATATGATATCCTGGCAAAGGGAAGCATACTGAATATAGGCAAATATATGAGATTATTTAATTAATAAATAAATAAATAAACAAACATAACCTTATTATGCTCATTTCTATAAATTTCAAATCAATTTTTTAATTTCAAGCATTTATTTAAAGAAAGATCTGCCCATAAAAGAAGAACAAATGAATAATTGTAAGGTTTGAAATGACTAGAAATGTTTTGAAAGAGGCTTTAAAATCTTTATCTAATAATCTCATATTAGATAAATTCTATATTTAATTTTATATAAATAATAACAATAAATCAGCCTAAATATTTTACAAATATCATAAAATATAATTATTGAGCAAGAATTGTATTTATTTATAATAATTATATTTAATTATAATAATTCTACATTTAAAATGTTTTCACTGCTAAGATATTTTGTGCAGTGTAGAAAATTCAGCAACTACAATCTTAATAAATACGGATTGTCAAGGGTTCTTTAAGGGTTAATTTGGATAATTACTATAATTGGATAATAATTTCTAACAGGGAAAAACTCTATTTTAGGATTCTACATCGACTCTTTAAGGGTTTTTCCTGAGTGGCTTCTAAATGTAAATTGGCAGGTAGTTTTGCTCATTTCAAGCATTTATTTATAGAAAAAGAAGCAATACAATAAGCCCACTTGAAGTTAGTACAAATATTTAGAAATACACTTTATAATATTATATTTGTTATCTAATAATCTCAGATTATATAAGTTCTAGTCTCTAATTTATTTATTCTGTATTTAAAATATTAATATTGACATAATTAAATAATAAAAATAAAATATATAATATTTTACTTTCAACTAATTATAGTTATACCATATATAAATATATATTTAAATTTTTTTCAGAAAAAGTTGTTCTTTAAGGTTATTTTAAGGATTCACTGGCTAATTAAAGGTTCTTAGCTTCCAAAAAAGGCTCTGCTTGCCTTGGAACCCTTTGTGATAGGCAAACTGTGATAGAGATAGGGTTTTAGGATTCTACATAGAATCCATGAGTAACAACCAAAGAACCCTTATGAATAGCATTAAAACTGGTAAAAACAAACAAACAAAAAAAAACTTCAGAACTACTGAATGCAATTTTAGGGATCTTTTATTCATTCGCTCATCTTCTGTATATGCTTAATCCTGATCAGGGTCACGATGGATCCTGAGCCAATCCCCGGACCACTGGGTACAAAGCAGGAGAATTCACCCTGGATAGAATGCCAGTCTATTGCAGGGAACCATTCAAACACTCATTCACACTTGGAGGCAATCTATCATAGCCAGTCCACCTACCAACATGGTTTTGGACAGTGGAAGGAAACCAGTGAATCCAGAAGAAACTGACATGAACACAGGGAGAACATGGGAAACTCAGCACAGACAGTAACGCAGCCTGGATCAAACCAAGAACCCTGGAGCTGTGAGGCTGCAACACTACCCACTGTGCCACCATGCCACCATTTTTGGGCTTATGTGATGGAAAATTATTACCTTTTACCAGGAAAGAAAGTGCATGTTTTACTTTAAACCCTTTCTGATTTAGGATTCTACATAGAACCTTTGAGGGTCGCCAGTCAGAAAGTGCAGGAGGTAGCATTTAATGTTAGTTAAATTAGACCACTAGTGCTTTTTTTAGCCTAGATTTAATTATGTTAATCTGAGCTAATCATTCACCCTTTAGTCAATGTCTTGTGACTTGTGCGGTGGTGGATAAGCTCCATTGTCCTCATAGATGTCTCTGGTCTCAGTCCTACATACAGAGCTCCATTCATCTTCCACAACCCGCCTGAGAGGGTCAATGCCATTACATGTCAGCTTTATTTACCTGTTCCGGTGAGTACATGTAGCACTTAGTAAATGAAGTCCGTCTCAGAGGAGTGGAGAATTCATCCGGCCAGGAAGCAAGGGAGAGCGTCATGCCCCGGAGGGGTAAATTCCATTATTAAACATTGAAATGGATTCCTGTGTGGCGCCCAGACCATAAGACCATCTAACACACCACTGCTGAATGTTCCTCAGTCTCCCCCATGTATAGAATTCAAAAGTTTGTACACTCCATCTTTTTTAATTAAAAATAGAAAAATATACCTTTATTTTACAATGTGGAAGTATTGTATGACAATACACAAATCCAAATTATAAATCAAAAGACTAGTGCATGTGGATGAATATTGCCACTGAGAGGATACCAAAAACACTGAATAACTTATCCTTATTGATTCTTTGGTTTGTCTCTCTGGGAGAATGCAAAAAGGTTTTATGTAGAATCCTACAACATAGTGTTTCCTTTAAAGATTGAGTTCTTAGGAAGCTAAACACCATTAATTACCCTTAATTAAGGACCTTCGAAGAACCACAGAAGGGACATCTGTGAAATGTCACACACTAAATGTCTTCATTCATTCATTCATTCATTCATTCATTCATTAACTGCTTTATCCTGGTCAGGACTGCAGTGGAGCCATAATTATTATTTTAAATTAAAAATCCATAAAATGCCTAAAAATTATTTCACATTTTAAATATAATTCTAAATTTTAAATGCTTTCATTTGCTAAGATATTTTAGCAGTGTAGAGATGTTAGCAACTCCACTCTTCTTCATGGGTTCTTCATTGGTTCTTTAAGGTTTCATTGTATAATTAAGGGTTTTTAGCTTCCAAAAAATGGGATTAAGGACTCTGCATAGAATCTTTCCGGAGGAAACCCAGACATGAAGAGAACATGCAACATTCTACACAGACAGTAACCCGAGCTCAGGATTGAACCAATGACTCTAAGCCAGCAATGTTACACGCTGCACCACAATGCCACACCTATTGTAAATATTTTATTTTCACCTACTGTAAATATTTTATGTGGAAAAAAATGAGCTAACTATCACTGGCTAGGCTAAAAACAATGGAGTTACGTTTCCCGAGGTCCCCTGAAAAATATGGTGAATATTCATCTTTAGCTCTAGTATTAAACACGCACACTAGCACAAGCCTCTTGTCAGGTCTTGACTCTGAAAAATATGACGCTTTTCATTCCAAAGCATTTAAGACAAGCTCTTTGTTATTGCTTCATTCCTCCTTCTTGGTTTGTGCAGTGGCCCCCAACGTGCATATTAAATCAATTAAGGATTTGAACAGCACATTTTTCATTGCCTCTGTGCTGAGCAGGAGACTAATTTGGTTTCCTCCTTCCCCTCCAGTCTTAATGTCACATTCCATTACATGGAGCCAAAGGCGTGTGATAAAGTGGAGCATTAGGGCTTAGAAGAACCAAAGTCCGTGCAATTGCAGCAGTGTAAGTTGAATATTCAGTGCAAAGACTGCTCTCATTCTTCAGTAAAGTATCAGCAGGAAGTCTTTCATTAGTGAAGAGTGTAGGGGGAGTCCTCCAGTACACTACAAATACTGTAAGGGCACTACAGTCAGGCGCTGAGCTTTATTTAAAATATTTCAGTGCTATTCTTGATGCAACATTTACCCTTTTTATTTTACATAAGTCTTAAAGGAACAGTTAAACCTAAAATTACATTTGCACAATTGTTACAGAATTGCTCAGCTTAAAACCTGTTGGTGTATGATGTTTTCATCTGGCGCTTCAAAAGGAATGTAGCTAACAAATAATAGAAATCTGTCTCACCCAAAACCTCTGTTTCATATCTAAATATAGCACTGAAACATGTGCCCCTATGTCATGATTTGTTTAAACTCCATTTCCATCACTCCTTTTCGCATCATGTTTGTTTTTATCGATAGACCAACTTTTCCACCTCAGTCAAGAGTAAAACATTTATGAATTTCTTCAAATTTCAGGCTTTTCCATTCAGTTTTTTTATTTGCATAAAGGAGCTGGATGGGGAAAAAAACACAGCACTATATGTTTGTGAAAATGATGGCCTTGTTTTAAATGCTTTTATATCTCTTCCAAGATGTAAATAAGTCAATTACTATTGTCCTGTACAACTCATCATACTTAATATAGACCTAAACCACAGCGCTGTTGAATTCTCAAATCTGATTGATCAGAAGGTGTTGATAAATTGCTTATAACAGCAGCTGTGACAGTAGCGCAGTTGCAAATCACAGTTTTATATTAAGACACTGGATTTTAGTACTTCATCTATAAGAACAGCTCAATCACAGTGACTTGTTTGGTGGACGTTCCAACTTTGGGGTGGTAACAGTAACTCCGCTTCATCACACCGCCCTGTCATTGATTATTTTCCTATAATGGCATGGCGTGGAGTGTTTTATTCCTTACTTTATATAGGGGTCAAGTCAAGGCATACCATACACTGACTAAAAATAGCCCAGTAAAGGCCTGAGTTTTCCTGCAACAGACATCCATGTCTCTGATCAGTGAAATTCCATGTAATAGTTCTATTTTGAACTTAAAAGTGTAAATACAGACTTTATCTGCTAGCATTTCTGCATAGTTATTTAAAATGAGATAACATAGCTGATCGATAATGTTTAAAATAAAGTATATACTGGTTTGAGTATGCCTTTATGACAAACATTTTTGTGTGACATAGATTTCCATTATTAGTGCAACACTAAAGAGGCAAACATCAGATAACAAACATGTCTTGGCACTAAATTGCATAGCAAATCATTAGGCACAGATAGTGTATTGATGTTCTCTCTGCCATATGTGATTACTAGATATATAGGTATATAGATGAGTTAATAACAAGTATGATTCAGCTTTGTGATTTAGCTCTGGTCGCTCTCTCTCTCCCCCCCGCCTTGACTCCGAGCTTTGTGCAGATTGTCTCTGTGGACAGCCAATCCCTTCAAAAGTCCAGACCATTACTCACTGGGTCCAGCGACTGTCTCTGCAATTGTAATCATTTTTCATCCCAGGAGCCGTCAGGTCTTGATCCTGTCTCCTCAATCAACCACCACTATTAATTGAAGGGCAGCTAAGAATCTCTTATTTTTTCTGGGACCTGTGTAATGAGTCACACACGAGGTAAAGCGCTGTCTATATCTCCATGTTCAGATTCATCCAAAATGTGATTTCAACAGAACTAAGGGTTATAAACTGGCTTAGTGTGTGGCGTCATGGAAACATCTCTGTCACAAGGAAGCGCCATTGTAGGTTATGACTGGTTTATACCTCATCAGAAGTGCTTCTTAGAACCCTACATTAACACTAGCAAGTGACAAGTCTCTTGTGTTATTATAGTTTGTCTCTTGTGGGTGTGTAGCGACTGCTACTGTTGTAGCTTGTGGGTGTGGCCTGTCCAGGGTTTTGTTTCTTTGTTTGTTTGTTTGCTTGTTTTAGTTCTGATGACAAATGGTAGTCACTATCTAAATCTTGTAACGCTAACTAGTTAAATAACAAAATGCACTAATCAATGTGAAAATTGGTTGTGTAATTTACATTATGTTTTAGGATTCATACTAGCTTTTTGAACAGATTAGCAAAGCAAGCTAAATGTACTAGCTACATACACTTACCAGACACACCAACTATATCTGCTACTTCCTTCCCAGTTTTATTTTTCTTTGTAATGTCTCTGTAATGAGAGGTTGTATATGACAAGCTAAGACAGCTGTGATGGCCGAGTGGTTAAGGCGTTGGACTTGAAATCCAATGGGGTCTCCCCGCGCAGGTTCGAACCCTGCTCGCAGCGAGAGAAGCAATTTTAGGGGGAAGTCTAAATGGAAAGAGAGTCGGACTTGCAACCTGAAGGTCATGGGTTCGAGTCTCCGGCAGGGATTGTAGGTGGGGGGAGTGAATGAAAAGGCTGCCCACTGCCACACTGGGTGTGTGTTCATGGTGTGTGTGTGTATTCGCAACTGTGTGTGCGCACTTGGATGGGTTAAATGCAGAGCACAAATTCCAAGTATGGGTCACCATACTTGGCCACAAGTCACTTCACTTCACTTAAGATGAACCCCTGTTATATGTAATTTGAATAGACTTGAGAAAATCTTAAGTCAAATGTTGCTTTATTGTTTGCTGATATTGTGGCCCTGTGTCATGCACGTACAATGAAAATGAACGGTCATGTGTCGTTTGCTAGCGTGAACACAGGGTTAAGGTTAATCTCCAAATTGTAATTAAATTGTAATTCAACACCAGTGTGTAAGTTGCATGCACGCTAACATTTGGCAAATTATAGTGGTGATAATGTTAGGATTACTAATGGCTGACCAAAACAAACTAAATATCTGTTTTTTTATGATGTATAACAAATGATAGATGCTTTAAATATGCTGTTGGCTTGAAGGAAAATGTCACGCTTCTGTATCACAGCTGGATTACTGCAAACATTAGTTAGAAGTGGAGTTCTGCTGCTTATATTACAGCTTTGCAAATTTTGTATTTCTATTTTCTGTTATCAAAACCTCCGGAGGATTAAGCCTGTGTGAGGTGCAGGGTTACTCTATCGTCTTATTGTGCTCTAATCCTATTATACTGCACTCTGACAGCCACCTCAACTGCTGTTCAA